CCCCCAGGCCAAGGGGCAGGGCTGGGGTGGGGCTCACGTAGTCAGCCAGGAAGGCAATGCCATTGGGGAAGCGCTTGGCATCGGGCACCAGGTGGCCGTTGTCATCACGCCCACCAATCCAGCAGTCATCAATGTTAAGGTATGTGTAGCCCAGGTCTCGCCAACCATCCTGCGCCAGCCGGTCGGCCATCTCCATGAAGAGCCGCTCACTGGTGAGAGGGGCAGGGGAGGGGCAGCTTAGTGGCCCAGCATGTTCCCCTTCCTCAGAGCTTCTTCAGTGCTCTGAATGTGAATCCAGCCGGTAAGAACCCTGGCCTTGCTGTCAGCTGAAGACTAAGCCAGGTAACAATTGCAAATGACAACAGGAATTGTGTCGTGAGCCCCAAACGGTGAAATTGAAAGGAATGGTCTGGCCCCCAGGCCAAGAGGCAGGGTGAGCCAGGAGAAACATGCAGTGACTGGCCTAGCCTTAACAGTTACCTCCTTTCGATTATCTCAGGGACTAGGTCCATTATAAGGTACCCGCCCCACAGGCCTGAAAGTCCCCACAGAAGCCCCAAGCAGGTCATGAGGCTGAGTGTCAGATATCCCAAAAGTCACCTCTGGCTGCAGTCTCTCTGGGATGGGGAGGTGGCTTTGACCCTGTTTCTCTTTTCTCACTGACCCTCCATGCCCTGCCCCTACTCTGCAGGACCCTGGGTGACACCTGTTAGGCAGTGCAGGCCTTACTCACCTGATGCAGTTCTTTGGGTCTTCATCACAGTTAACGTTGCAGCGGAAACGTTCCCAGGCCAGCCAGCCCATGGGTGGCGTCCGCAGGAGCCCATTCTCCAGCACCAGCACCTGGCTCACCAGGGCCAATAAGAGCACTGTAGGGGTTTGGCGGGATAACTATGAGTGGCTTCCACAGCCCTGGCCCTCCTCCCACCCTCTCCAGGTGCTGCTCAGCCCCGCAGAGGCTGCTGGCCTCCACACTGGAAGAATGAGACTCCTGCGTTTAAGGCAGAATTGGCTCTTCCTGCAACTACTGGCTCCTGCAGTACAGTGAGCAGGTGGATGGTGCCTGGAGTAGGGCAATGTGTTCAAGACCTGAGTCCCCTACTTGCTGTTGTTGCCACAGCAGTGCTGGAATTAGCAAACACTAACACCTGAGGTCATATTCTTTCTATACCCTGACCAGTTCCCCGCACCCTATCACACAGAACTTGACAGGACACTGTAGTCAGACTCCGGGTCTCCTGAGTCCTATCGAGGATCTGGCTCTCTACCACAGACCCCCCAAGAGGCCTCAGAAGGGCTAAAGAGGTCAGCCAGGTGGAACCTGCACTCAGCCAGCTCACCTGGGAGAGTGAGCCCTTTCCCTCCCGGGCCTGTTTCCTTATCTGTCAGATAGAGTTAACGTACTGACTTCACAGGGCTGTTCTCAGCACATGCTGGTATCACATAATGTAGGGCCTCTGGGGACAGGGGCTGAGAAAGGAAGGGGCCCCTTTAGAGGGAACTGATTCTTTTTAGAGATGAGCAGCATTTCCTTCTCCTTTGCCTGCCTAGCTCCAGGAATAAGAGGAACATGTCTCCCCACATACCCACATAGGGAAGGAGGCCCAGACACCAGAGGGCTGGACTCCCTCCAGGTAGCCCCAGCCCCACTGGTCAGCTCCCCTCCCATGGAGGTTACCTGTCTTCCACAACATGGGTCTGGATTCAGCGTCTCAGGACCTGACCAGATCTGCTCTGCTTTTACCAGCTTTATATGTTGGACTTTGGAAGCTAAGAAACGTTAGAAAAGCACTTGGGGTCATTACTGCCTGGCTAGCCCTATCGCTTTCAACCCTAGGCGTGGATCCCACACTCGGTCCCCGAGCCGCCCTCGCTACCTCCCCATTCCCTCCCAGCCATCACTTCTTCCTTCAGAAATACTAAACAAGGTGTCTTGGACATCGGACCTCACCCCCCTACGCGGGGTTGGGCGCCTCAATAGCCCAAGGGCGCCCCTTCGCCAGGCCGGGGCCAAAGAGAGGTAGCGTCTGGCTCGAGGACGCCCAGGAAAAGGGGAGTTGACAGGCCGAGACCAGGCTCCGGATTCCCACCGGGTCTGGGTTGCCACCTACAGCCGCCAAGGACGGAAGACCCAGCGCGGGGACCCCTAACCACAGAGTGCCCTGCCTGTGGCACTTACCTGCCGACGCGCTCACACCAACCGCCGCCTCTGCCTCCAGAGCCGCCGACCGCTGCAGTCTCTTGATTCGCCAACAGCGTTCCAGAGGGGCGGGGCCTGACGGCAGTCAACCTTTCCCGAAGGAGCCTATCAGAATGCCCCTAGTAACGTCGTGCCTCGCCCTCTGTGGGGGCCCAATACGCCCTCCGGACTTCTCAAAGCCCCGCCCCCTTAGAGCTCCAGCGGCGGAGCGGACTTCGCGACCGGATGTGCTGCTGCGGTTGCTGCTCCACCTCCCCCGAGGCTAGACCTGTCACCTCAGCGAGATCCCTGAGGGCGAGGATAGTGCCCAACACACTGTAGACGCTCAAATAATAGCTGGGGCTTGAATACCTGCTAAGAGTTTTGTTAAGAGGAAATGAGAGAATGCTCTTAAGCATGGCGACTAGTAAGCCTTTCAAAACCGGTAGCGGAAGATGAATAGGCTTGCGAGTAAGATGGGGGAGGGAAAACAAACCAGGTGCAGAGCACAACAGCTCTTGTAAAGCCAGAGGCTCTCCTTTCCTGCCTGACACTGCGGCCGCCGGTTTTGCTAGCCCAGGCGCTCTGCATATTTCGTTCATCGAAAATTTATTGAGCAACTACTAGATGTCAAACACTTCATTCTTGGCACCTTCGTTTAAATGGCCACTGGGCATTTCAAACATAAGGGGTCCCAAACCAAAATACCTGCCACTTTCCATTTCTCATGTAATGGCAACTGTCCTTCCAGGTGCTCAAGCCAAAACCTTGGAGGCCTCCTTGCATCTGCTTTCCCTCCCTCCGCACGTCCAGCCTCGGCAGACCTTGTGATCTCTACCTTCAGAACCCATCGCAAATCTAGCCGCCCCACTGCTCTCCCAGCCCCCATCACATCTTGCCTGAATTTGTGCCGCAGCCTACGTTTCATCCACATTTATTCTCTCCACAGCAGCTAGAGTAATCCTTTAAAACATAGCTCAGGTCACTCCTCGCTCGAGCCCCTGCGATGTCTGCTCATCTCCATCTGGAGTATCAGCGCCCACAGATAGACAAAGCCCCAGCCTACACGCTCCCACCGCGTCTCCTGCCGCTCTCCGCCGACCTCCCCGCTGCCTGGCACACTGGCCTTCGTGCAGTTCCTCAAACACAACAGGCCTCAGAACCATGGCACCGGTCATTCCCTCTGCTGGGAATGCTCTTCCTCCCGATGTTGGCATGACTGGCTCCATCATCCCCTTCAAGTATTTCTCAAATGTCACCTCAGTGAAGCCTACCCTGATGATCCTATTTAAAACTGCAGCCTTCCCAGTCCCACAATTTCCAATCTCCCTTACCTTGCTTTATATTTTCCACTACCTTCTAACACATTTGTTATGGTTCATATTATTAATTGAATAAAAATTTAGTGAGAGAGGCAGATAATACACAGGAAATAAAAGCATGCGTATAAAGAAGTTTTCTCTAGTGGTTAGTGCTAAGACGAAAATATAACCCAGGGACACGACAGACTTGAGGGCAGGTGAAGGGCAGGCCTCCCCAAGATGTGCCGTTTTGGCATATGGATTACTTTGAGCTGAAGGCAGTCAAGACCCTGTGGGCTCAAGAGAAATTTCTGTGCCCCCCATGACTACCTAGAAGAATTTAAATTAGGAGCCTTGCCCATAATAAGAGTTATTACCAGAGATAACATTTTATGACCGATCCATATGTCAGGGCAAACATCTAATTACTGAACACCTGTGCTTCATCTGCAAAGTCTTATCATTCTCCTGTGTGAAGCCCCAGGCCTCTTACCACATTCCTTAGCTCAGGATACCTTATTTCACCCTTCTGTCTCTGAACCTTTCATGTATGTGGGGTCTCTGACTTTCCCATGTATGCGGGCTTCCTGTAGCTACGAATGTACTTAAATTTGGTTATTTTCCCTTGTTAACCTGTCTCATGTTGATTTAATTATTAGACCAGCTGAAAGTACCTAACTGATGTGAAGGAGCCCTGAAGAGTTAAAAGCTGAGGGGCAGGGGCTGAGAAGGAAGAGCCGTCTAGGCTGCATGAACTGCGAGGGAAAAAGCTCTGGGTGGGAACCAACACGTTCACGGACACATGTTCTGAGCTCACCTTCGAGGGCCACAGGGATAATGCTAGGCTCCTGCATTTGGTTGTGCGTTCCTGCAACCTAAGCCACTGGCTTAGTTTTGTTTTTGTTTGGGAAGGGGGTGGAGGCAGCAAAAGTTGTACTCTGAGATTGATTCTTTCTTTGCCAACGATTCATTTAGCACATTATGGGAATTATAATAATTTCACAAGCCAATAGCATACCAGATAATCTCTCTTAATAAACCAAATAAGGAAATAACATACTCCAAACAAATGACAGATTAATCACACTATTGTTTCAGACAAGAGGTGGTGAAGGAGTAAATCCAAATTTAATATGGAGTGCCTTTTTATATGAGGAAGCACTCTGGAGACTCAGCAACCAATCGAAGAGCGGATTTCCAGTGACCAGCGCGAAAGTAAAAGTCCTCTGTTGCTAGAGCACCGTTGCTAGGGAACGAAGACGCCAGTGTTAAGCCAGGAGGGCTGAGGTGCTCTGCTGATTTCTTCTGAGACTGCTGCAAGGTTTAATATCACAAGGGACCAAAGAGTAGCCTTGGCCACAGGTAGGAGAGTTTTTTTTAGATTAAGAAAGAGTCTAGATTAAGTTTTTTTTAGATTAAGAAAGAGCCTTGCCCAAACTGAAACTCTCAAATAGTCCATACACTGTCAGTATTTATAGTCTAAATACCTCCAGGCCACAGTTGCTTTACCACAGGTTCTCACCCATGAGCCCCCAGCAGGGCCCATCAGCAGTTGGGCTGCTGACTGCTTATCAACCACAACAGACGTAGAATAATGACATCTTGGCACGACTTATACTTCATACTTCAAAGCAACTATTTTTTTTCTTTGGTCTTAAACAAGTGGATTAAAACAACTTCACTTAAGTCATAAACAAAAGGATTTGAAATGGCATTGAACCAATACGCATCACGGGCCTACCTTGGACTGAACGCAGGCAGGGCCTGGGGGTTGCGGGTGGATTGCAGGCCAGCGAGAGTGGCACAAGCAGAAGTGGGTAACCCCAGAAGCAGAAATCTGGTCACTCCGGGGGCCCAGTTGGGTGGCCAGGAAGCTACGTCGGGCCTTGAGGGCTGAGTAGGAGCCCGCCCAGAGGAGGCGCCCGGGCGAGGCCGACTGAGGCTTGGCTCTGCGGGAGGAGTGGGCGGGGCGGGGAGAGGGGGCCTGGAGGGGGCGAGAGGAGGACTCGGAGTTTCCATGGCAGGGAGCGGGGGCTGGCTCAGTACGAGGCGGGCCGACAGCTTGAGGTGGGACCCTGGGTTCGAGGCCGCCCGCCACTGACCAGCTCCGTAGCTCAGGCGGGTCCCGGCCTCTCCCGCCTCAGTTTCCCTCCCGCGTGGACCAAGGGCCATCTTCACGGACCCAGGCCTGGTGAGTCCTGGACCGGGAGGCGTGGGGGCGGCAACTCGCGCTGCGCGGGCGGGGTCTCCCCGCGCTCGGGGTCTCCCGGCTCCCGCAGCCATGCTCCCGGCCTGGCGGAAGCGCGGGGTCCGGAGACAAGATCGCCCCGGGGAGCGGCCGAAGCCCGGCCCACGGGCCACCACCCAAGGGCTTCGGCGCGCTGGGCGGCGCGGAGGCGAGAGAGGGCCCAGCGGGCTCCGGGAGGCGGCGGCCCCGCGAGGGCGTGGCT